CAAGTATGCCGATGTCACAACACCGATGACTGATGAGACGCAATACACATACACTAAGTGCTAGTCTCAAAAGGGAAAGGTCGGTATCCTCATTATTGGCGTAACCCATCGACTAGGAACTAGGTTTAACAGTTACATTACTTTGCTGAATTATCTCACGATTCTACTAGACCAATTCACAGTAATAGAGTAACTCGTTAGGACTATATCTATGCTGCTTGCATGGGATTAAAGATATAGAATGCCAAAAGGTATTTTACCATTAATTTGAAATAGATTATTTACGAGTAGCGTGAGAAAACACAACACTTAGTTGGCTTATTGGTCACCTACTCTAACACCGCGAATGGTCAAGAATTTGGGAGCTTAATCTCCCGCCAAAGGTTCGACATTTTATTTGGAGGCTTTTGACAGACTCTCTCCCTACCGGTGCGGAACTCCATCGGCGGAAGATTACGTCGGACTCGAGGTACATTCGCTGCGGGCATGCATAAGAAACAGCGCTGCATATTGTGCAATTTTGCGGAGGACTGGACAGGTTGTGGCAAGCTCACCCGTTCTCCTTAAAGCTCGCTCCGCCGTCGTCATCTTCCTGGTCTTGGTTTGAGCATCTTCGAAAACGATTGACCGCAGACCTCTTGCCACTGGCGCTCATTATTGCATGGAAATCTTGGAGCGTTCGTAATAGCTACCTTATGATTGTTGGTTCCCCGGAAATTGTTGAATCGGTGGTTCATAAAGTGTGCCTGCTCCCAATCGTCGTTTGTGGCTTGTGAGGTACTTGCTGCTGCTACTCTTTCGGTCTGTGGCCCTCAAACTGATAATTGGGCGACCTGATTTGATAGAGTAGCTAATTGTGCTGAAACTGCGGCTAAAGGATCGAGTTGGTGGGCTCCGGCCACCTTTTGTACACCACTACGTTCGGACGGCCAATGGTAAGCATTCTCACACATTCGCTCGACAATGTCTCGAGCGTCTGTGGGAGTCTTGTTTTGCAATGATCCACCAGAGGCAGCATCGACTAGAGAGCGGGCTGGTAGATAGAGTCCATTGTTGAATAACTCCATTTGATCCCACGGGTTGAATCCGTGTTGAGGGCATTGTCGTAATAAGTCCTTGAATCTCTCCCAAGACTCGTGCATCGGCTCTTGGCTCATCTGTCTGAAATTGCCTACATCTCTTCGTAGTTGTGCGGTCTTCGAGGGTGGAAAGAATCGTGCCAGAAAGGCTTGCGATAATTCTTCCCAACAGGTGAGTGATCCTGGATTAAGACTCAGAAGCCAACTCTTTGCTTTGTCTCTGACAGAAAATGAGAATAGCTTCAACCGGATGGCATCATCAGAAACACCGTTAACTTTGATCGTGTCACAAATCTCCAAGAAATTGGCAAGATGGAGATTTGGATCTGCAGTGGCTGCTCCGGAGAATCAGTTCGCCATGACCATGTTGATTAGCCCCGTCTTCAGCTCGAAGTTGTTTGCGGCTATCGTCGGTTTCCTGATTCCCGAATAGTTCTCATTCACAGCTGGAGTTCGGTATTTTCGCATTGTTCGCTCAGGTGGCAGGTTCGGTCTTGGCTACTCGTGATCTCGTCCTGGCTCTCGATCGTACTCAAAGGCCAGGTGCTCTGGATTTCCTTGATCTTCGGCCATTGGTTCACTTTGTTGGTTGCGCGTGGCCCTTAGTCTACATAATGTCCTTTCAATCTCGGGATCGTAAGGTATGATTTCCAAATTTCGACGCCTGGGCATAAACAAAGTGAGTGGTTAAAATCAAGGTAAAAATCGAAAATTAAACAAGTAAATGGCTAAAGTAATAATCAGATAATTGGTAACACTATCAACAAAGATAAAATCAAATTGGTCCCCGGCAACGGCGCCAAAAACTTGATACGCGTTTTCCTCACGTATAAATTACCGCAAGTATACAGTATCGCATTTTGCAGAACAGTGGTTCCGGATATCGATCCACAGGGACCTTGTAGATTCACATGCTGAGTAGTGTAATTATATTATCGTTATATTATCTAGCCGATCGTAAATATTTGGAATTGTGAGAAACCCTAATTTGAAAGCATGCAAAATCGTAAACATGCAAATTTAGAATGTACGTAAATAAAGTAACGACAACTCAACGCGGGGGGACTTCGATTTAAAGGGGACTTCTAGGGCCAAATCCACCTATGTATAATCAATAACGATCTACAAATCCGTTATCTAATGTCACATTCCTATTCGTTAACCCAGACGCTAATGTACTCTAACCCCCGTCTCCAGTGTAGTTAGAGTCTACCCACAGGTCCGACGTCTCCGTTCAGAACCTGCTATTAAGAGAGCATTTAGGTCAAGTCCTTAAGGGCTACACGAAGTGCATCACGTCTCCGTTTCCACACCCCGAGCTATGTTTTCCTAACTTCAAACAAGAAATCCTCTCTCGAGTTCATTCCTATTTAATATCAATCTGAGAGCTGATCAACACAATCAGAAGCATTTAATACAGGAAAACATAAACGAAATCAAAACACGACAAATAGATAGCAGAAATGACGATCGAAATCAATATATACAAGGCTTCATTACCCTAGAAGAAAATGTTCTTAGTTCATAACAAACATAGTGTCAAAAGAATGTACAAAGGAAATGAAGAACAAAACGTAAAGAAATTGCGTAAGAAAAACCCAAGTCGGAACCCCCGTTGATGATTCCCGCGAAGAACTGTCGAAAACCGTAAAAAGTCGAAGAAGAACGAAGAGTGAGGGCTTGCTTCTATTTATAGTAAATTGCAAAGCTTCCTCAAGAAGCTTTGCTTTTTAAAATATCTGCCCTCGAAAATCGTGCCAGATCGCGATCCAATAAAGTCGGATCGCGATCTGGCTACTCGAAAAAACGTGAACCGCCATCCCAGATCGCGATCCAGGAAGTGCGGATCGCGATCTGCCCCAAAATCACGATGCTACTGGAATTTGTCACCAGATCGCGATCCGACTTTCCTGGATCGCGATCTGGGTCTGAACTTGCTCGCTACTGAAATTTGCATCCAGATCGCGATCCGACTTTCCTGGATCGCGATCTGGGTCTTAATGACCACTTTCTCGGCTTGAAAAATCGGTTTCGCTTCCAAATGGCTTCGACTTGGCAACAAAAGCTAACAAAACCTAAAAAAAGAAATAAAACAAGAAACGCAATAATATATACAAATAAAGCCGAAACTCGGACGAACGAAGACCAAAACTCGAAGAATTGATAAGTGAAAATCATGCAAAATGAACACTTATCACCTTCATGGCGGTGATACGGCTTACCAATCGGATATCGTAGAATGGAGCCAGCGATACCTAGAGGAATACATTACCCACAAGTCCAAACCACTACTTGGTCGTACATTGGAGCACCCAAGTGTTTGGACCCCTCCATCAGTCGGCACGATCAAATTGAATTTTGATGCAGCGGTGCCCTTGGGGAAGAAATATTACGTCATCTCCATGGTCGCGCGGGACTGGCGGAAAAGATGTTTATGGTGGGCAGCTCGTCTCGTCCCAGGCTGCATCTCAGTGGTGGAATGTGAAGCTCACGCGGCTCTCTTTGCTTTGGAATGGGCCACTAAGAAAGATTGAAGATCGGTTATTGTCGAAGGAGACAACCTGCATGTCATCAATGCACTCAAGACGGAAACTAATTTGGAATCACCATTCGGAGCCTACGTAGAGGAGTTTCTTTCCATAGCATCCTCGTTTAATTCTTGCATATTTTCCTTTGTCAAGCGTTCTGGTAATTTGCTAGCACACTCTATTGCAACTCAATTTCCATTTTCTTGTAATGAAGGGGATTGTCTTCCTCTCGACTTGGCTATTTTGCCCTGAATAAAATCTGGTTCATAGTGCCAAATTTATTTCCTAGTACTAATTTTGTTTTTGCTATTAGTCATATTTATTTTGTATCACTCTTTTATTTTCAAGAACTCCTTTTGTTTTTGTCTACATGTTTTTAAGATTGTACACTATTTTAGTGTGTTAATTAGATCAAAATATGCAATGATTAATTTAATACTAATGGAGAAAATATATAAAATATAATAAATTTAATACTAATATCATACTAATGAATTTAGTTTGAATTGTTTTATTTTGTAAAAACAAATTAAAAATCAGAAAATATTATAATATTAATATTAAAATATTAATATTAAAATATTAAAATATAAATATTTAAAAAATAGACATGAGACGCCATTGGAGGTGGCGCCTCGTTGCGGTGCCGCCGTTGGTGGTGGAGCCTCATGCCGGTGTCGCCGTGGGGAGTGACGCCTCCTGCCGGTGCCGCCGGGGGGAGTGGCGATCAACCCCAATTCGATTACTCCCTCCAAAACAACACCATTTTAAAAACTCTTTCTCAAAACAACACTAGATACGTTTATAATGGATTTTCATAATAGAATCGGTAATAACATAGTGGTTTTTGGTAAGCTTATAGTGGATTTCAATTTATTAAAAACAATTATTTTTTATTTAAATTTAAAAAACAGAAACATAGAAAAAAAATCATTTAAAAAATTAAAAAAAAAAACTGATAAAACTTTAACTGAAATAAAAATTTCCCAATTAATAAATTAATTGATGGATGAAGAAAGAGGCGTGGCATGGGAGAGAATAGGGGATGATGTGGAGAAAATAAGGGGATTTGCAATTTGCATATCTACCAAAATAATAATGGATTTTTCAAAATAATATAATATGGTAATTTTCAGTAATATTAAATAGATATTTTGGATTATTAGAGTTAATTGAGTTTATAACAAATATCATTAAAAAAATTAGATTTATCAAAAAGTCAAATGTGAATGAGGGGTGTTTGTGATATAGCCCCTTAAAAATTGGCACTATTATTTCTGATAATCTATCAACCATCAACCCTGGCTAAATATAATATCTAAAAAAGAACTAAATATCTTAGAAAAACATATATAGTAACCAATCACGTGATATTGGGCAGGGGCCAAGAAAATAATACTTATTGCCAAAAAGGGAAGAGAGAGAAAGAGAGAAGAATACGTCATACCTTTGGCTTCATAGTCAGAGAGCAGCATACCATACACTGATACATATTTAAATGAGTCCAACCAATTATAATAGTTTTTTAATTTCCTATCGTAATTCTTCTACAACTGCAATTCTTCTTTCGTTCAGTTTTCAGATTCCCAAAACCAAATTTTCTATTAACAACACTAACACAAAGCAGCACCGTTCCTCTTCCTTTGCGTTTACCATTCTTTCAGCATCGTCTCTCTCCCTTGGTACCCTAATCTCTCTCTCTCTCTCTCTCTCTCTCTCTGATGTTTTCATTTCATATATGGCGATTTCTTTTTTTCTTAAATGTTTGGTTTTATTTCTTTTTTCTATATGCCAGATTCGATTTCTTTTCGATTTCCGTGTAAAACATGTTCGAATTTGTTTTAGAGACGGATATGAATATCAATCTGATACCAATACGTGTTTTTCTTACATCGGAAATAAAATCATAGTTCCTGATTTCCTATTTTTCAGTTGCACAGAAACTGCAAAAAAAATGCACAAAATTAGGGAATCTTTCGGAATATTACAGTCAGAGAATTTTAAATTGAATAAAATCATGTGGAAGTGGAACTAGGGTGGTGAATGGTGAAAAAGGGTATATACCTGGAATATGCCATTTGTTTCTATATTTTCAATTGAGTGGGGAATGATTGTCTAAATTGCAAACTTGATATTAGTTTGACAAAAACAAACCCCCCTTTGAGGTATTTGCAATACTTGTATTAGAAGACACAAACAAAGAGGTTTGTTTTTGTAAATCTGCCAAATTTAAGTACGACTTTCTTCAATTTACGTCTGAGAATCTTCATAGCATGTTATTTGTGCACATCTCTTTTAATATCACATTATTTTGATTCTCATGATTTAATTGCTTTAGATCTAATCCAAAAGACATTTTGATTTTCTGTTTCCTATTGATTTTTACGTGTACATTAATTGGACACGGTCTACCTAATTAATCTGCTGTCGTCCAAGTTTCATTTTAATAAGCAAAAACAGACACATCTTAATCTAACTTTCTGATCTTAAGCGCTATAGAATGCACAATTAATTTTGCATAAATTCAGGTATTGAAAATGATGTCCGTACGCTCGTCTTCTTTTATTTATGTTTTCTTTTGTTTGTGTAAAAGTTGCAGATATGGATGCTGCACCAAGCGTAGGATTGTACCCTCTGCACCGTTGCAAAACTATTCACTTGGTTGGTGTTTTTTCCAATTCCTGTTTCTCATATTAATAAATATTAGATATATATTGTAGAATTGAAAGAGAAAGATGTGTAAATGTTAGATATATGGATGTAGGTAAGACATGCTCAGGGATTCCACAATGTGGCTGGAGAGAAAGACCACAGTGCATACATGTCTCCTGATCTTTTTGACGCACAGCTTACGCCTCTCGGTTGGGACCAGGTCATTTTTTCATTATGTTTTTTAACCAAGTGCGATCGTAACTTATATATGTTTATTGAAATGTGTGCATTAGGTTTATGTTTAGTAACCATCAAGACAAATCTTTGTCCAGTAACTCACCTTTTCTTTTTGTTAGAAGAAAATAATGACGTGCGCTTCATATTATAACAGGTAGATAATCTGCGAAAGCATGTTCATTCGTCAGGTCTTTCGAGGGGTGTTGAACTTGTCGTTGTTTCCCCTTTGTTAAGGTAAGTAAGCTTATCTTCTCATTTTTTCTCCACACCTCAGTTATTTGAAACTATGTTCACTCTTTATTTTTCGAAAAATGATTCTAATGTATAATTATCGAGTCCTTTTGTGTGATTTTAATCTTGTATCTCTATTTTTGTAATATAAAAAAGTGAAAAAAAAAAGAACCGGACAAAATTTCGACTATGAACAAGTGATTTTTTCCAACTAGCGGTAAACTGAGAAAGTTGAATTGCAGGACAATGCAAACAGCTGTTGGGGTGTTCGGTGGAGAAGGTTATGTTGATGGAATTGATGTACCTCCTCTAATGGCTGAAAACACTGGTGACAGTAACCGTCCAGCTATTTCAAGTTTAAATTCTCCTCCATTTGTTGCAATGGAACTTTGTCGAGAACATTTGGTACGAAATGACTAATTAATAATAATGCATTAATTTGAGTTTCACTTATCCTTATTATTTTAATCTATTGATAATGGTCATATGCTCATTCTAAGTCAGTTTAATTTTTAATTGTGTTTATGCTGTCACTTTTAGTGTTGTGGTTAACTCATTGTTACATATTAGTCATCTCAAGTATTATTAAGATTTTACCGAAAAAATTTGTGCTGCTTTATTGAATATTGCAGGGAGTTCATTGGTGTGATAAGAGAAGGAGCGTATCCGAGTACAAGCCACTTTTTCCTGCAATTGATTTTTCACTGGCAAGTCAAATGTTCCTTTCCGTTTCTTCTTCGTATATAGAGAAACCTAAAAAACAAATTTTGGATCCTCATATTGAACAAGAAAAAAACGTGGAACGAAAAGATCTTGTCACTTATTCTTTAAACGATTGTTCTTGTATTCAGATAGAAAATGATGCTGACACTCTATGGGAACTTGAAGTGAGAGAGGCAAATGAACATGTTGCTGAGAGGGGTCTCAAGTTTTTGAATTGGTCAACTTTTTTAATCCTCTCGGCTAATTAGTTACCCTTGTTAACTTTATACGGTAATAATATTTTTGTATAAGGTGCAGGTTGTGGACGAGGGAGGAGACGGAGATAGCGGTTGTTACACACAGTGGGTTCTTAATTCACACACTTGCTGCATTTGGAAATGATTGCCATCCATCCGTCAAGGCTGAAATATGCAGACAGTAAGTTGTTCGTTATTTATATTTTATAACTTGTAAAGCTTTTTTAGGTGATGCATATGAATTTGGCTGGCAAACACAGAGGAACGAATGAATTAAACATTTGCAATTTTTTCACTTGCAGATTCAGCAATTGTGAACTTCGATCAGTGGTTATTGTTGACAAAAGGTAAATAAATCTTGACTATTGATTCCTCTTGCGTTATTTAACAAGGTGATTTATGTTCTTTCTAATTGCAGTATGATCGGTTCAAGTTCGTCAAAAACCGATTATCCGGGAAAAATTCCTAGTGGGCCTGATGCCCCAAGTGATGATGCTGATGAGAAGAAGTAGAGTGAAGGATTCTCTATATAATTAATTTAGAGCCAAGAGGAATTTGATTATCAGAGTTTCCTACAAACTTGGTCTATTTATTTACTTATAATTAGGGTTCATCCATTATTTATTACTCTTTCTCTATCAAGGAAGGTTAATTATGGTTCATTGGGTGAGGCTATGAACAGTAGTTTAAGATATTTATTGTTACTTGGGACAACTTTTCAAGCAAATAATTTTAGCACAAATAAACTCAATTTTATATGTGGGTGAGATTACTTTCCACGCACAATTTCGATACACTAATATCCTAGCAAACAAGGTAAAAACTAATTTGTCAGTTAATTTAAAGTCCTATAGAGCTCAATGCAGCAACATTATTTTGGCGAAAATGGGAGCTGATACGAAGGTGACATCATCTTTTTGAGAAATGTCCCAACTTTTTCCTATGATATTTTGTGTAATGACAGGTACATCCTCTAAAAAAGCCCTGTCACAAAAAGTGGTTTTTGAAGTGATAATATCTACGTTTTATGTTAAAAAAAAAAAAAAAAAAAAAAAAAAAAAGTTATATAATTATGGGTTTTTGGCACTAGCCACTCTATGTGTAATCTCTAGTTGCCGAAAAACGTTCGGGTTGAAAACGTTAGCAAGGAAACCCATGAAAATTAATCAAAGTCAGTGACGTTTAGGGATGACAACGGGTTGAATTTGGGCCGGGTTCGCTAAAACCCGAGACCCTACCCGTGAAAAATATATAAAACTCAGACCCGCCCCAACCCGGTTCAGCTTAAACCCAGACCCGCCCCATCCCATATCCGAATTAAACGGTTCTAACCCGCCAAACCCGCTAGACCAATTAACATAATTTTTTATTTTTATTTTTTAGCTTTCATAATATTTTGCTTCTAAATTTTAACAAAATAATCTAAAAATTAAATTACAATATTTTAAAATACTTCTACAAGTGATATAAAGTGAATAATATTAAATAATTAATTATATTTAACTTTTATCATAAGTAAAATTCAAAAGGCAAAACGGCTTGTGGTGGTCGACAAGTGATAGATTTTAATTATGAGAAATGAGATTCAAAAAAACTAAAATGGTGAAAAATCGGTAAAATGAGAATAGACACCATCAAAATTGAAAGTTTGATAAATGAAATCATAAATTAATTTTTATATATAGATTAATTATAAAATATAATATATTTATATGGGTCGGTTCCAATAAGACCCGTAACCCGACCCAGAACCATCTGTTTCTAGAAATTTGAACTCAATACCCACCCCAAAACCATTTAACTTACCCAGACCCGCCCCAAACAGGTCGTTTTCGGGTCTAAAACCCGGCAAACCCGTACATATTGCCATCCCTAGTGACGTTATTCCTCCAAGCACTAGACTCGCCAGATATGCTAATGGGAGTATGTGTTATTATATGAAAAGACCTAAATGTCCTTTACATTATAACTTTGAAAATTACAAGTTCACATAAAAATATTTATAAGCCCAAAAATGAAGTTCACGAAATTTTTGATTCAATCCCTGATATTTTCAGAAAAGCCCTCTACAACCTAAAGACTAGAGCTTACTTTTTTCGTCCTAAAAAAATAATTTTCGCCCCCCTCATCCGCACTCCACCAGTAACAACTCTTTGTCGCCAAAATGACTTTCTTCATCTCCGTTGTCAGCCTCTTCCCTCATCCTACTTATAATTAAACTTTTAATAATATTAAGTATAAATGAAATTTCTAATTGTTTTCCAGCACCAAAATATTTTGACTAATTTTTTTTTCAGTTTGAGATTTGTTTTTTTTTTTTTTTTTCCTGTGGTTTGGTTTTAAGGAGTTTTAAGGTTCGGGATTTTTTTTATGGTATCAGAGAGTTTCTAATTATTAAAAATAACTTTTTTTAGTTAATTTTTTTTATTATTAAAAATTTAATTATAAGTAGTATATTTTTAATTTTTATTTATTTTCCAAAATGATGTTTTTCGTTGCTAGCGGGCATGTGGCGACGGGGATTGAAAGTGTTAAAAATTGAACCTTGGAGATGAACTTTGTTCACTTTAGAACAACGGGGAGCAAAAATGGAATCGGGCCAAACATGAGGGACCAAAAGTGTAATTCTCCCATACATGAAGCTTCGAATAAATTAATAGCAAGCATTGCACTTAACCGGTAAACTTCGAGCCTCAAATTTATAAAATAACTCCATACCAAACCCAATGATATTAATTCTCTTAACAACGAGCATCTACAATAAGCAGCTCCTTCACTGCACCATTGGATATCTTATTTAGACTTGGCATTCAAATCGCGCAACAAGCCTCAATTTAAACCTGGATCAGAACGCAACTCCATGGACTTGATAATTGATTAATGTAGCAAGTTTTAGACCAATGACTCCGTTTGACCAAAAGTCTTGATCAAACTAAGGGAGGTGATAAAAGTTGTTTCATTTTTACGATAACCATTTTCAATAAGTCACTATTTTTCCTCTATCTAAAAAAGTTACTCTCAACCTTTTGTATTTAATCAAAAATGTTCAAAAATTTCCATCTTCTTGAAATGATTTTTAAACGAAAATGAGTTTATCAAATGTGGACGGGGATCCACTTTACGTGAAGGTAAAAAATTACACGCTTTCAAGCGATCAATATTAGAAATGGGATTCACGTAGGTCGAATACTAGTGTTGGATGTTGGGCTTCACTCTCATATTAGAAATGGGTTTCACGTATTTGAGCATAAAGCCCATTTTGCACCCAAATTGGGTGTGAAGTCCAACTTCTAGTGCATATTTGGGCGGGGAATCCCATTGTCTATTTTATTTTATTTTAATATATTTTTATTTATTTTCTTTCTCCAGTCACTTCTTGAGACTTTTGAAGAAGTTGATTATAGTGAGTATTTTCTAGTAATGGATTAGTTTAATTCGAGAGATGTGTTATATGTCGTAGTCCAGGAAATAAAATATATCTCAATTGTGATCGATTCGGGAAAAACAAAATGGAAAAAGTGAACAAATTTAAATGTTGAAATTACGATATGAAGTGGTATAAAAAAAAGGCAATTGTTATTTTTAGGTGGTAGGAGTCCATCATTATTGGGATAGATGGAAAATATAATCATGTTCCCACATATAGGCTTGGGCATTTGTTGATTAGTAATTATTCGTAAGAACAATATGCGGTTATTGAAATATTGACGTAAAAATATGTCAACTCGAAGATGATTTAAGATCACTTGTGGCATGAGACCATTGTAACATCGTTGAGAATGCAAAGGTGAAATTTAAAAGTCAAAACTTGAAAGTTAACCTATGGTGGCAATAGAGTTATCCACAATTTGATGATGTTAGTTGAGGGACACATCTATGTGCAGTTGAATAGTATTGATCAAACTACCCATGAAGTTACTGATCAGACATTTACTAACCCACCAGTCCATTGAAATGTTAAACTTGTTTCCATGCGTTCTACTGATGGACTCTACGTAGACAAATTGGTATCCAATATATTTGTTTAAGATTAGCGGTGTTACCTAAGTGGTAAAAATTGCATGCAACATGAAAACGACGAACATATGAGAAGGCTTTTCCCTCAAGGTAGTGGAACAAACTCATTTGTGATAGTTAGGGAGTTAGGACTTCATAAGACGATAGAACATGTGTTTCCAAACACATATAATCTATTATTTATATTCCATATCAATAGGAATATGAGACTACATGGTGCAAGACATTGCTATAACAGAATGTTGCGAGGAATTGCATTTATTCATGGGTCATGGCAATGCTTGTTTCTTTAGTTTGTGGTGATTCGATAGGAACTATGTGGCGATGATAGATGAATACAAACATTATCCCAATTTATTGGAGCACATGTAAACCACTTGGCTCATATACAAGGACAAATCTGTGAGTGCATGGACAAATTGGATGTTACAGTTAAGAAATACGACGACTAACAAGTAATGTTATTTTTTCAACTACAAGTATGTAGTTTAATCTTATTCGTGCATTGAATTTTTTCATTGTCACTAATTTTTTTTTTTCTGGTGGGAGTGGGATGCTCACTCATGTTTGACACGTTTCTTAGACATCCCTACATAGAGAGATCTGTTGGCACCATATTCTCGAGATAAATTTGAATAATTGGGTTCATTTGTACAGAAGATTGTCATTGATTTTATTCCATATTTTTTGTTAGAAAATTTTATATAGTCAGAATTTATATAGATTTATTTAAGTAGGACTTATTTATTTCCACGTATTTGTATTAGATTATGAAAGAAATTGTAAAGATTTTTCTATCTAATTTAGATTGTAGAGATCATGAAGGATTATATTTTCTTATGATTGATTTCATTCAAGTTAGGTTTAGGGAGCAAAAATTTGTGCGTATATACCCCCTGTAATCCAAACGAAGAACTTTGGATATAAAATCGAAAAATCCCAGCTTGAAAGCTTTGGAGGGTGCTACCTGTGTTACAGTTCTGTCGTGCCCTCAGGTGTTGCGACAGTCCAAGTTTCTTCTACCATGCCATAAAGAAGATCGGCTTTTAGGAGAAGTGCTTCAAATATCTCGAGAGAGGACGATCCGTCTAAGAGGGCGGATGAAGGAACTGCGCTGAAGATCTACAAGTTCGAGTCATGTGCAAGAATGGGGTATAACATAAAGATGGAGTCTTTAGTGTTTTTATTAAGGGCAATAATTGTACATTTAATTATGAACTAGTGAAATCTTGTTTGCAGGTCCTCGTGGATGTAGGGTACATTTCTATCCGAATAACATTAAATTCTTGTGTTCTTTATTCAGCTTTTAGTGGTATAATTTTATATCCACACAAGAATTATGTTACAACATCAAATGTCTTAACAACTAATTTGTCTCAACATAACGATTAGATTTTTATAAGCAAATAAACTAACAAGATCCATTACTTGGGAGTGTCCAGTCTATTCTAGTATTGAATCATCCAGTGCACCAAAAGAGGAGCCAATATGCGCGATAGACTTAATATAGGTCATGGGACATCATCCTATTCACCCAGTAGATGGCGTGACCATTCATCGAATGCGAGTGGACCCACACCGGTACGTATTGTTATGCCTGACTTTTTCATAGTTGACACTTTGGCATGTACTTGAGGTCTTAACATGGACGAACAACAGAGGTGATGGTAATTAATATTGTGGCTATATAAGTGTAGCATGTGCGGTTAAGCGACACAAGGATTACTGGTGGAGATTAG